GAAACCTTTGTTGTGTTTCTGACTCCACTGGTTTTGTGATTTCTCAATGAAGAGCAGAAACGAACAAACACGAGTCAGCAGCAGGACGGTGATGGTTCCTGGAGGATCATCGCTGGTGACGATGAACGGCTGCAGCCCAGAGTTCTCCCAGAGTCAGAGCCAGCAGCCTCCGAACCCGGACAAGGCACATCTACATAACAGGACTTCTGGGAGGAACTTCACGCTCCTGTCAGACCCGCTCCGTTAACGGGTCGGCTGCAGGTGTAAACATCCTGCTGCTCATCGGTCGACGGTTAAACCTCGAACCGTTTCCACGTCACTTTCACACGACAGAAGTCTGAAGTGAAGCATGTGTCTTAGGAAAGGATTTATCCACATTTCAGCAGCAATGTTTGTCCTCACGGGGACGCGAACCGGCGACCTTCTAGCTGTGAGGCCACGGTTCTAACCACCGACCCACCTGCAGCCCAAGTTCATGCATATATTCTTAATTTTGTGTTCTTAGCATCATTGTGTTATTCTGTGTTTCTTATTTATATCGTGCATCGTGTTATCTTGCTTTTCTTTCTGTCACTTTGCTGCTGTGATGCTGTAAACGTCCCCATGTGGGCCTAATACAGGATATTCTGTTCTGTCCTATCGTCTGCCTTCACAGTGTGGTTCGGGTCAGTTCTGACTTTCCTCATACTGTGTCTACACCACATCTTAAACTACAGGTCTGTTTAGAACGTCTAAATAGCCGATGCCACATTAATAAATTAGATTAAAAACACACATAAAACATGACCTGTACAGTCTCACAGTTTCCAGATTCCCTAAAACCATCATTTTCCTTGATTCGACCCACACTGCTGGATCTAAAATCCATCTCAAAAGTGTGTACAAAAGTTTAAAATATTTTCATTTTTGTGTATTTTGGGTCACTTTAGGAGAAGTAATCAGATTTCAGGCTAACAGAATGACCTTTAAGGTGTTTTTACTGCTGTCAAATGTCAAAATGGGTCAAATGTGACAGTATGTACGGGCTGGATTAGGTTCTGTGGCTGAATATTGCTCAGCTTGGGGCCAAACGTAAAGACTTTACGCAGTGAAACAGGCAAGAACTAGCGTGTCGAGGAGGTGGAAACAGTCAACAACTGTCATCCCTCTGTGCCAAGATCACACAGAACGTTGAAAACCAGTCGAGTAACTTCACTGACTGCTTCTGCTCTGAGTGTTGTGATAAAAAGATCCTGCAGCTGCTGCCGATGGGACCCTGGCCCTCCGTAGACGTGTTCGTTTCACTGCACAGTCATCCACATGCACCGAGCGAGACGATGCCAGTGCGATCTGTTTGGCCTCTTTGTTTGTGAAGCTGGGCCTTTCCTGCCCTCTGATGTGCATGCTCAGGCCATGAATAGCGCTTTGTGAGTGGACACACACACCCAGTCCTCATGATTTGAATGCTGAGTCCATCTGATCAGAGAGAGAAAACGACACGATTTTATCATCTGCTGGAAAACTAACTCGCACGCTTTGAATCGCAGCGATCGCAAATGTTGTTGGAACGTTTGTCCACTTCCAGCGTCGGTTTGTTTATTAAAAGTGTCCCTCCTCAGAAAACACACACATTTAGATTTTTAGTGAAAGAACAAATCGTGTCCTTCGAGGCTGAACGCTGAGCATCTCCTGGTTTTCTCTTAAAGGTCCAGCAGGTTTTACAAACCCACTGTTTCCTCTGATAACAAGCAGGAATGCAGGAAAATGACTCGACCCACATATGAATGAACAGAAACATGCAGTAAATGAAGAATTTCAACTTTACTGCTAAAAAAAATAAGTAAACAATTACTTCTATGAAAAGAGTTTTTTAAAAAACAAATCAGTGTTGACATTCAGGACGAGTTCTAAAGTCTGGTTATGATTTTTATTTTTATTTTTTTAAACCAACTATTCAAAGAATAGAATTAAGTTCTTGTGTTATAGCAGTTTGTTTAAATTGAAATCATGCTGCCATCACAATGTCCAGGAAGCTTCTCGTTGGCGGCACACAGTTTGTGTGTTTCCTTATTTAGACCACGACACTTTTAAGCTGAGAAATTCCTTCACATGAATCAACATCGTCTCTTTTCCAGTTTACAACTGAACAAATGATTGAAATGGTTAAATAATTTCTATAGATAACCTAATATAATGATTGTTTCTTGGTCTTGTTGGGATGTCCAAGATGCTGAGAGACAAGTGAAACATGCAGTCAGCACTCCGGTCAACCTGCACGGTGGCACTTTCTGTATTATATTTTCCTGGAATCAGTTTCCTATTTAAACTGAATTTTTGCATTTTTAGAACTTCTGACTTCACAGATCTGAACGATATCGAGGAAGCAGCAGCTTAAAGCTACATCCAGGTTATTTTAAGGCATGAAAGCACGACTTAAATGGATCGTGGATACACAGATGTGAGTGTCTGGGGGTTTAATCAAACACCTGAGGGGTTAAAAAGGGAAGATAACTCTCGTTTCACCTCTCAGCTGGAGCCACCAAACCTCTGGGTGACGTCGCAGAAGGTTCATCCACCTGCATGTACAGCCGACGGTTGGTGCACCAAAGCTTCTACTCATGCAACCTGATTTCTGTCAAACATGTTTAGTTTGATCAGATGGTGTTAGATGTTGACTGTCACCCAGTTAAACATGTTTATTTAACTTTAGAGGAGACACACACTGTTCCTGACGAGGAGATCATGAGTGATTCAAACCTCGCTTTGGGGTCAAACTACCTCAACTTTTCAAACCCAGCAGAGATGGTGAACATCTGGTTTGTTTCTATGGATCATACAGAGTGTTGCTGAGATGAAGAGGGCAGCTTTGGTTGTGTGAACTGATCTTTATTGTTCTGTTTGAAGACTCTGGACCTCAGTGTCTGACGCGGTTCTTTCTGGACCTCAGTCTTCAGTCATTCTTTGCTTTCGGGTCAAACTTTTCATCTAGAAGCCAAAACAAGCTGAGATCCTGGTCTGCGCTCAATAAATGCTGATGCAGCAGCTTCTCTTCACTGTCGTGCTACAAACTGCTTCTGACTGAAGAGTTTTAGAAGAAATGAGCGGAGGAGAGAAGTGGAGGAGAGAGGAGAAGAAGACGGAGGTGAGAGCGGAGGACCGGACCGGAGCAGCAGCCCGGTGCTCAGTGTGTCATGTTATTGGGGGAGGGGGCGTGGCCTGCGCTGACACGTCACTGATGCTTATATAGGTGCAGCTGTGCGGCGGGCTCGCGCTGCTCACACAGGCTCAGCACCGAGGACCGGCGGCGCGCGCTCACTCACTCCCAAACAAAGAGAAGCACGCGAGGCAGCGGAGCATCCCACCCTTTCAGCCGCGAGCTCAGTAGCAGAACCGCCCCCCCTCCCCGCTCTCTGCCCCGCTCACACAGAACCGGCCCGGACCGAAGCCACTATGACGACCAACGGCGCGACCAACGGAACCAGCGACATGCTGCAGATCCAGTTCGGTCTCATCAACTGCGGGAACAAGTACCTCACGGCGGAGACCTTCGGCTTCAAGATCAACGCCTCCGCCACGAGCATGAAGAAGAAGCAGATCTGGACCCTGGAGCAGAGCGGGGACGAGTCCAGCGGCAACGTGTTCCTGCTCAAGTCACATCTGGGCCGGTACATCGCCGCCGACAAGGACGGCAACGTCACCGGAGACAGCGAGAGCCCCGGGCCGGAGTGCCGGTTCGTCATCACCGCCCACGATGACGGCCGCTGGTCGCTGCAGTCGGAACAGCACGGCCGCTACCTGGGCGGCACCGAGGACCGGATCATCTGCTTCGCTCAGACCGCGTCCGTGGCCGAGAAATGGAGCGTGCACATCGCCATGCACCCGCAGGTCAACATCTTCAGCCTGACGCGCAAGCGGTACGCGCACCTGAGCTCCAAGGTGGACGAGATCGCCATCGACCGGGACGTCCCGTGGGGTGTGGACTCCATGATCACGCTGGTGTTCCGCGAGCAGCGCTACCACCTGCAGACCTCCGACAACCGCTTCCTGCGGAACGACGGCGCGCTGGTCGCCTCCACGGACAAGAGCACGGGCTACACGCTGGAGTTCCGCTCCGGCAAGGTGGCCTTCAGGGACTGCAGCGGCCGGTACCTGGCGCCCTCCGGGCCCTCCGGTACCATGAAGTCCGGCAAGAGCGCGCGCGTGGGCAAAGACGAGCTGTTCGTGCTGGAGCAGAGCCACCCGCAGGTCGTGCTCACCGCCGCCAACGAGAGGAACGTCTCCACCCGGCAAGGTGGGTGTGGTGGTCCGGCCCGGTCCGGTCCGGTCCGGTCCGGTAGGGATGGAGAGTGTGTGAATGAGTGTGTGTTTGTTGGTACCTTCTGTGGGGGAGGAAGGGTTCACGTGATGGAATGTGAGACTGTACACACGCACACACACACACACACACACACACACACACACTCCTCATGCCTCCATACAGTCACACAACAGGGCCTGTGTGTATTTACACATGTCAAACAGAAGCTCTTTGGCCAGGATCCAGGTCCATCCAGGACAGTCCCCTCAGACTGGAGGCCTGCAGCCGGCGCCCACATCAGCTCCTACCAGCATGTTGGCCTCCATTGTTCCAGCCGCCTCCTGTGAATGTGAGCTCAGAGCTGCTACATGGTGGCTGTGTTTCAGGCAGCTGACGTGAAAATGGTGAACAAAGTGGCCCAGTGGCCTGGGCCCGGTCCAGAGACCCGGGCCCGGCTCACAGGCAGCACCGTGTGCGCGTGTGGCATCATTCAAATGTAAAACAGCCTCCAACTGGAGGGCTGAGCAGCTCCAGGAGCATAACGCCAGGATTCTGAGCTGAGAAGAGCAAATATTTGGCCTTTAGCTACCAGACTTATCAGTTCATTCGTCCGTCTCCCGGCTGTGATGTTCCACATTCAGAGTCTCTCACTTTGCTCATATGAGGCATTTTAAAGGCCAAACACATGCATGCCACCATCTGCTGACCAGAGCCACTCCACCGCCTCAGCTGTCTAATGAACGGGAGAGAAAAGCTGAAATTAGAGGCTTTTGTACGTTTGAGAGCAGCTCAGGGCCACGTTCAGGCTGAACATGGATGGATGGAGCCGTGGCCGTCATAAATACCTGCTGCAGGTGTCCTCTGAGCTGTGCTGTGTTTTAATCAGACCTGTGAGCCTCGATGTCCATGTGGGCTGCAGCTGTTTGAAGGAACACAGGCTCGTCCCTCCACCTCTTCCTTCCTTCCTTCCTTCCTTCCTTCCTTCCTCTCGTCCTCAGCCCTCCTGTCTTTTTCCATTTCTCATTGTTCCTCTCTTTTTTTATTCCACATCTCTGTAACGCTGCCTCCACCCCCTCCCCCACTCCTCCGGCCTTCAGGCTGCTGTTTGTCTGCACGGCCGTCATCGGTGGCATCCCTCACTCCCTTAAACTGTGCTGAGAAATGCATTGAGACCGGCCTGTGAATCATTCTCTAAATATCACTCCTGGATTTGCATGGAGACGAGGAGCGCTACCTGGACTGCACCCCTGACCATAATGAATGACAGGAATGTGTAAGTGATGCTCAGAGGAGCGCGGTGGGAGGATGATTTGACGTTTTAGCGGTTTGGCTGCTTCATTTCAGAGAGAACGATGTGCCTGTCGTCGTCTGTTCTGTCTCGCTGCTTTGTTTACTTGTCACAGGAATATTTATCTCCCTTCGTCAGCAGTTCAGACACAAAATGGAGGAAGTTAGAAGTTGAGTTAAAAAGGGGGCTGCTGGCACGACGTGACGCTTCTGAAATGAGAGCATGAGTTGCATTTAAATTTGAAGACACATCTGCTCAGATTATAGCTTTTTATGTTGGAGCCGAGCAAAAAAAACCTTCTGTCACAGTTTGTAACCGAACAGAGGGACAGCTCGACTGGACTCGTTCAAATTAATTCATTTATTTACGTAAAATATCCTGTCAGGACACGTTTCACCATCTTGAATCAGAAACCGTCCCACTAGCTGCCATTTAATCATCACTGACATGAGTTTAGTTTAGAAGAGTGTATAATGATTTTATTTCTTTTCCTCTGGGAGAAAAAACAAAATGTACCAAACAAGGATGTTCCCTGTCTTTATGTGATTTATAGGCTTCTCTGTAGCACCACAGTTCATCTGTCATGACATGTTCTGACACGTTTTCCATTTATAAACAAAAAAGAAAAAAAAAAAAAAAATCCTGTCCTCAGAGTTGGGTAATGCTCTCGACTATATTGAGATTTTAATAATATTTAAATTAATTCTTCAACCCTACTTGCAGCTCTGCATAAATTATCGATGCTCTCTCTGTGTGGTGCCTCTTCATGCAAAATGCAGCCGTCTGCTGAGCGTTTAAGGGACTCGTTGGAGTTTTAATGCAACCAAACCCACATTTTTACAATCTGCATCTGTCATCTGAAAGCATTGTGTAAGCATATATAAATCAAACAAACGTATTTGGTGCATTTCCTCCCTCAAAAATGTAAAACAGTGCGTCCATGTTTGCTGCACAGCTTTGACTGGTGTGTTTGGTCTGAGTGAACTGAACTCATCTCTGCTGTCGATCCACATGATTGATCGTTGGGGAAACAACCTGCACATTATCTGCAGATGCTCCACCGTGCACTGGGTTCCCTCTGTCTGCAGTCTTACTTAGCATTTGCAGCATATTAAATCAATTATTTAAACCTGGCTATTTTTATACTGAAATGCTGAGAACCGACCAGCCGCCTGTATTCATTTGACATCTGAAGATGGAGCAAACCAAAGAGCTGCTGTTCCAATGAGCTGCCATGTTGGCTGTTGAGCTGTGTTAGCTGCTGTTAGCAACATAGGGACAGGCTGATTATTGGGAAATTGTGATTATCTTTTGCCTGATTATTGATAAATTAGATGCAGCCTCCTCTCTCTGCCTGTCGTCACTTTGTGGTCTCAGAAATGCCTCCTCAGCAGACCAGGAAATTAGCGTCTCTCACTGTGGCTATGCTAACGGCTAGCAGCTAAGTTAGCAGGCAGCTACAAGGTACCATGAAACAGAGTCTGAAAAAATACTTAATAATGCTTTAAGATCTGGACTTTAGTGGGGCAGACCAGTGAAGGATTAAGGAAATAGAGAAGATATGCAAGAAACTGATCAACTTTTGTCGGTCCCACATAAACAGAGGAGTCATTCAGTCACTCCTATTTCTGCTTTACATAATCAGGTATAGTCACCCTTAGTAATGAAGAAGCCGAGGTCCGTCCTCCCAGAGAACAGTCAATTCCAGCAGGACCACTTGCCTTCATGTTTCAGACACCTGGACGGTGTCCACTCAGGCCAGACATCGTCCTGGTGTCTGAAACATCAGGCAGGTGGTCCTGCTGGAATTGACTATTCTCTGGGAAGACCGAATGAAGGAGGCCTTCGAGAGGAAAAGGGCCAAGTATGAGGAGCTGGCAGGCGAATGCTAAAGCAAAGGCTGGAGGACCCAGTGCAACCCCATTGAGGTGGGGTGCAGAGGATTTGTTGGCCAGTCCCTCATCAGGGCCCTCAAGATGCTCAAGGTAAAGGGACTGCACACCAGGAAGGCCTTCAGGAACATCACAGATGCTGCTGAAATGGCATCAAGATGGCTGTGGATCAAGCAGGGTGATCTGTGGACAACACAAGCTACTTAGACACAAGTCGGGCCCTGATCAACCCTGGCTGGGTCGCCTGGGAGAGGGTGTATGATGATGTGAGACCTGAAACACCCAATGACCCCAGGACACATCGCTGAAGACATGTCTGAGAGTTTCATGTGTAGTGTATGATAAGAACTTGGTATGGATGACAGGTTCTCTGGTATCACATGCTGTTAAAATATGACATGCAATGCATATTGGTGTCAAAATATCGGTTATCTGCCTTTCTTGATCTGCATCGGTATCGGTCCTCGAAAACCCATATCAGCCGATCCCTACTGTGAAGTATACACGCCGCTTTTTGTCCACCCGTTTGAACGTAGTGCAGCAACTCCGACATTTCGCACGTCGACTCTGATCACATGTTCAGTAAATAAGTCCGACCCAGCAGGCTCGGTTAGGTTGGGTCGGTTCAAAGCTGGATAGTTCAGCCCTCCGACCAAAGGTAATGAACTGATCGTGGAAGGCCGGATGGTGGACCTGGACACCACAGCCCTGGTTCCTTTGTGCGCCAAGCCGATCAGTCGCGTCGCCCCCAAACTGTGAGCATATATTTCTGCTGACTAAGGTCTTGGCAGGTTGTCGACTCACTTTCTGGTGCTGCTTGCTGTCATGTCACTAAGGCAGTTACATAGATTTTAACTGTGGAGAACAGAGAGCCCTGGTGTCAGATCGCTGCTCTGTCACTTGAAATGCTGATAAAGGTGTGAGGTCAGCTAGTCGTCTGAACCTCGCTAACGAGGAGTTGAACCCACGTCCTCCCTGCTCCGTTTTCTCATAACGAGGAGAAAGACTCCAATCTTTAGAGGACGGTGCTCCACCAACAACTGGATCATTGTTATGTGGATTAAACGTTGAGCGAAATTAAAGCGGCTCCAGATGTTTTTACAAACTGACAGCTGCTCGGTCCCGCTCTGTCTGGTAGACCTGAGCCAAGATGGTGGTTCGAGTGGGCTGGTTTCCATTAGCAGCTGAAGCTTTTTGACTTGAGAAAGCTCGAGTGGCTCCGTCCAAAAGCTGCTTTAGTCCAGTCAAAACAGATGCCTTTTCCTTTTTATTTTTTTGGACTCAACTGTTTATGGAGTTCACAAACTTGCATGCAGTAAATCTCGTTGACACATCCCTTCATTAGTTGGAGCCGCGGTGGTTGACTCAAGACGTTCCCATTTATATTTACGTACAACCTTCTCTTACAGTAAAATGAAGCGTGTCGGCCTTCAGTTATAACGTTTTAACCCTCAGATTGAGCGTACAGACAAACACAGCTTTACCGACGAGGTCTTTGGGGACATTGGCAGTAAAATAGGTTTCAGTTTATTTGTACCGTCACTTTTTGGATTCTTGTTTCAAAAAACATCAATAAAATATAATTCTAACTGAACTATTGCCAAAATTACAAGAATCAGTTGCACATAAACAACAGAATTTCATCTAAAGTGGCAGCTCATGACACTTTTAACTGATGTAAGCACCTCAGTTTGGCCTAGAGCCGAATAATGTGGGAAAATATCCAACTTTGATGATTCTGACAAATGTAGTCATTTGTTCAACTTAAGATTTAGTCAAAAATGTACAATATTGTAGATTTAAAACATTGCTAT